GTGACAAGATATTCATCCTTTGGTAAGTGTTGAAGGAAGAAAATTCATGAAATAACGGAAACTACGAGTAGTGAAAGTATGAATAGTGACATGAGGGATTAAAATAAAGGTACTTCGAAGCACACCCAAATAGCAGATGAGCCCGCCCAGCGACGCAGTGAATGGACCCCACGAGCGGCAAACGTTGCTCTGAAAAGAACCCAGCAACAAAGAGAGCACTTCCATCAATATCAGCGTCAAAATATTCATAAGAAAACGTTCCGACAAAACTAAGCGCTATTCCTCCTGAAATAAATGTTCGCTAGACAGGAGCCTGGTAAACACAAAGAGGATACATGCGTGATTCTTTAATTAATCTCAGCAGATGATCTAGATTTCAAGCGCGATTCAGCCCAGAGACAGAATAACCGAGGTAATAGAAATTCTCGTGGTGAACTATATTAAAAACTTGACCTTGCCATCATCTTGCCTCTCGGGATGATAGACGGGTTTTTATAGCATCTCGCTGCTCGATATCCTTCTTGCGTATGATGTAGCCTGCCTACAGCGCGGCATGCAAGGCATAGCAAGCTAGTCTCATGCATTTGTTGCAGTCGGAAAAGAAATATCGCCGCTAGCGAACAAATGCTATTTCCTACGTGAGGCAAGGCTGGAGATTACCTCGAGGCTTGAGAGCTACGCAAGGAAGAGTCGCTCAACCACAGCTATTTGCTTTATAGGAGCATCTTCACAGCTTGTGTGTATGCATGCAGATGATTGAACAAGATTAGTTGAGCGATTGTTGACACAAAAACGTATTGAACGTAAAATATTAGGACATATTCATGGCTTTAGTAGAGAAACGACGCAAAAAAGCAAAATCCAATCTTAGTTCAAATTTTTATTTGAAATAACTTTGTTCAAAATTCGATCGAAAAGTTTTTTCTCGACTTTTTACGACATATTTATGCATCCACATTACCTAAAACCGTAAGTCCTAACTTTCTGTCACATTTTTAAGACTTGATATTTCCATCAGCTGACCCTATTAAACAGTGTTTATAAACCATATTGGTGTCGATAAACCTTATTGGTATGGTATTATTTATAAATCTTATTGGCAGCACCCGACAGAATCACCACTATGAGCAGCTCAAATATAATGGCAAGACCGTACCCTAGTGCCAACTAAAGCTTTGAACGCAGGTGCGCGCAGCGCTGCGGTATCCTCTTTAACGCGGCTGCCCAAAGCTGCTGCACCCATGAGCCGGGGCCTATACTTTCAAAAAAAGTTAAGAGATCGTAACTTCATCAGCTAATCATATACGACCTTTCGAGCAAAATCCACCATAGACAAGAATCAAATAGACAAGAAAAAAAATAGAAAATCATCATAGACAAGAAAATAGAGCGTAAGTACTTACGTTCACTTAGCGAGTTTGAAAGTAAGGTACCTGGACACTATAGACGTGCCAGTGATGCTGCTAGAGACGCATGAGCCTGGACACTATAGACGTGCCAGGGATGCTGCTAGAGACCCATGAGCCGGGACACTATAGACGTGCCAGGGATGCTGCTAGAGACCCATGAGCCTGGACACTATAGACGTGCCAGGGATGCTGCTAGAGACCCATGAGCCGAGACACTACAGACGTGCCAGGGATGCAGCTAGAATTTATTTAAGAAGATGCAGGTCAGTAGGTAATGTCATTCGTCGGATTACAAAATAATAGAAATATTGTATATTGTGCACACATCTACTAAACTGTGTCCAGGTTCTGAACTAAACTTAGTATCAACTGATTAATAAAAACTTACCATTTTCGTAAACCTTACGATAATCAAAATATCTTCGGAGTGCGTGCATTCACTGCCTGAATTGAAGCCTTTCACGGCGCCAGCTGCACAAAATATCTCATCGGCCGCAAAGCTCGCAAGTTTGCGGGGTGCAGTAATTAGCTATAAAAGAATCACTATAGGAACAGAAGCTTCATTACAACGCTAATTAATGACAGAGAAAAGCCTCGAGAAGATTCAACGCAAGATGAAATACTGGAGCAATTTCTCGGCCTCCCAAGATCCGCCTGTGCTATTCCTCAGGAGCCAATTCACACGCGTCCCTCAGCGCTCCATTTTCGCAACTCAGGCATTAATAGAAGGCGCGTTTTCGGGCCGGAGCAAGAATTTTGTGTGATAATTCCTCAGCGTTTACTGTGCAAACAACGCGCATTTAGACATTTTTTCAGGATGAAATTCTGGGTGGAACATTTCCACTAAATTGCTCAAAATTGCAACGGGGTTTCAATGCAAAAAAAAAATAAGTTTAAAAATAAAGAACTTATACCTAATTTACTTTTTGATAAGCAATGGACAGCAAATCGAATAAATATTTTCTTCCAATATGCAATATAGAACTAGCCAGTTAGTGAGTGCAGTGGGACCGCTTCATGACTGCGAGGGTACCGGTTCATGACTGCGAGGGTACCGGTTCATGACTGCGAGGGTACCGGTTCATGACTGCGAGGGTACCGGTTCATGACTGCGGGGGTATCGGTTCATGACTGCGAGAGTACCGGTTCACCGAGCAACGCACTTGCAACACAAAACAAAGCGAGCTTTCACATTCAACGCACAACAACCGTCACCAAATCCATCCAAGCACTACCAAATAATTGAAACACATTAAATGCGAAAGCCAGCACTAAACATTTGTGGGGACATGCCGGGTGATTGAACAGTCTGAATAATATTCGCGGTCAAGCCTTGACCAACATGGCAATTAGGCTTGTTTCAACAAGAGAATAAATAACCAACGCAAGAAGACATTCACATCTCTGCGATAATCATTGCGTCAAGACATTGCAGCGCAGACCAACCCTCAAGATGATGTCATGTTTACTAGCACGCCGGTGATCGGTAGGGTTTTAGTTAACGCGTTGGCTGACGGGAATATCCTTTTATTTGTCGTACGTGTCTGTCGTCTCGCAACTAAGGGAGAGCGGCGACGTTCATCAGAAGCGGAGCCAACGCAAGCGTACGTGGTATGCTAGGGAGAGGCGAGGGTGCAGCAAACGTGTAGAAGTCTTCGAATAAATGTCCATAGTGGAGTGAATCGAGTACCTATCTATATCATCAATTCATTGACATCCCAAGTACTAAAAACGAAAATAAAAAGATTTAAATCGAAACCATCAATGGTCCAAAACACATTGGGAACGCATGTGTATGTATTTAAAAAATTACCAGGAGTCTGAATCCTAAGACATCGATATTAGTACTTGACTACAGCGTGCTTCATGTGATTGCACAAGAGCGACAGAAATCTTGAAGTCGATTAGCCCGCAAATCTATGCACATAAGAGTAAATACATTCAAGCCTGCTAATAAGGGAGTAAACATTGAAATTAATACCAAATAGTCTTCAGTTTACTGAATACTTTCTGTTAGACAACCCAAGGCGAAATAAAATGATGCCCTATCGCAGCCTTGCTACTCAAAAGCCTTACGTAGGAAGGTGTGTCAGCAGCATACAGAACACAGTGCCAAGTGTTAGTTTCCGAACACACTGCATACAGAACATACATAACACACCGACCACAACTCGCAGACCGATACTGGTCAAAACATTGCTGCCTAGCTTGGCCAGCATAGTGAAGGAAGTTATGCCCACAGCATACAGACCAACGCGCCAAAACACCTCTCTATACCTTAACGTAACAGGAACAAAATAAATCACGAGAATAAAGAAGTTTTCCTCTAGCACACACACACACTTACGTCATCGTTATTCGGTGCACCCTAAGGAAGTTGGGAATTATACCGGTCAGAAAAAAAGATTTATAGAATGTTTATTCACGAGACGTGATAAAAGAAATTGAAGTAAATCTGGTTTATCAACTCAAAACCTGAAATTCTAAAAGAAAATAAAAAACTGAATCCTCACCTTGCTTTGCAATGGGTAGCATTGTGAACTGAAGAGGTTAAAATAATCCAACAAAAGTTTAAAGTAACAAAACTTTCTCACATCACTGGCAAATGAATACTCCACTCAAGGAGTAACAAAAAGACACTCCCAACACTCACTCTCGTCTGACTGTCACTGACTCAACAGCTGACCAGTGACTGCTTGCCGCAATTGCCGTGTTTACCTCTCAAAATTTTCTTTCCCTCGCTAGATGGCAACACATGCGTTTAGATGTTGGAAGAAAATGTAATTTGAAGAGATACTATGATAGATGAGGAAAATATATTTTCTCAAAGTTATTTGTGTTGGTGCTCAAGAGTTCGGTCCATTGTTAATCTAAAAAGTAAAATTTTTGAATTGAGAATTGATTTTCAAATCAAAATTTTATGCATACAAAATCTTCCTGTTGCTAGAAGTAATTAGTCCTTGTTACCAATTTTTTTATTAATTTTTCTTACTGACTGAATTTTCGAGAATCTTTTCAGTGACAGTTCCCTTTATAAATGAATAAATCGACTACCTCTAGTCGCCATAAGTCATCAATGCTAACTAGCTTCCCTCCAATGAAGCCGATGCAAGACTTAAATTATATTACAAATTCATATTTCATCAATATCAATATAATTTTATTTCTTTCCCATTTTGACTGTAGAAAGTTTTGTCGATTTATAATTGCCATCAGTGTGCGAACTAAGTACCAAAGAAACTTGTGTCTCAGCGACGCCACCCAAGAAAGTTTCCAATTGAAGTAAAAATGATATACAAAATTATAGCTCCTTGTACAGCATAAGACGTTTATTAACTAAAACTACAATCAGAACTGAACAGTTTGTGACCAGGTAAATGCTTCACGTTTTAATAGTATTAAAATAATGGACTAAAACATTCGTTTTAAAAATATTTCGCTCTAGTTCTGATATAGAAATTAATTAACGTATTCTTAAAAAATATAACTCAGTTCTCACTTAAGTGAGTGACAGAGAGCGCATTTTATCGTCGACGAAAACATGTGAAGTCACGGACGGACAGACAGACGGACGGACGGACATGGCGAGCGCAATAACGCTTTTTTTCCATAAACGAGAAAATGCGCGAAAAATAGCGTATTTAATTGGTCACATTAAGATAGTCGGATTGCACTGATGGTTTAAGGCCCCTGAGTCGGAAACTCGCCCATACACGCAATTCCGTCTCAATAACGGTGAGCGATCAGGATTTACTTAAGGTATAAAAACTTGGAGCGTATAATACTACGATTTTTGAAATTGTGAAAACTTTTGCAATCATATACCGAAAATTAAAGACACCCAAATGAGCGAGTATCAGTCTAAACCTCTTGCAGGTGTATAATAATCTGCGAACACCTTTATCTGTTTAATTCCGACAGACTGAACTCATATATTTGTTAGCTCTTCTCAAAATTTACTGAATTCCATTGGAGCTTTCAGTTGACCAGCAACTCACTAACCTCATTCTTTAAACAAACGAAATTACGCACTCAGTCCATCTCTGTCGCTTTCTATTAAAAATGTGTCCCACTCGATCACGATTTATTCCTGGTCCTCCTTGAGACGAGCGAGTTCCTGAACGGCGCTTTCTTCCGCCCTCGTTACTTGCTTGTCATTGCTGCAGGTTTGCCCGTAGAAGGGCACCGGCGTAAACTTTTTCACGTTCCAGTGGTGGATGAGTTTCTTGAGAGGCCGGACCGAGGCGATGCTGTCCGCCTCAGCCAGGGTTTGCGGGAGCGGCATTGAGAGCGTCTCAGGCAGAGGAATGGACAGCACCGCGCAGGCGGCGCTCAGGCCCATCAACATCAGATATTTGAATCCGGAGCCTTCGTCTGCCTGCGAATTGATTATTCTGTTTCATCATACACAATTGATAAAACTAATGTGGGACTCAGGATGTGAAAATTTAATTAGAATTTGTTTGAAAATGTATATAATAATAATAGCGGTTTCAGCGTTTATTAGGCCGTAGGCCTGCCGCCGATTCTTAACATCGCAGAACATTCACAGCTTGATGCGGACTTGAACTCGCAACTCTCTGCTCCAGTTCTGCTGTGCTTAACCGCCCGGCCTCCTTGCCGATTCTGACCAGAAACTGGCGCACAGAGCTGGGATCGAACCCGCGCCTCTCTGCGCCAATCTTGGTAATCTGAACTTTTAACCACTGGGCTACCCTGCCCTACATAGATTCAAAATCACAGTCAGAACATGTTAATTCATTTCACAGAATTTGAATCGTTCTTTATTGAGTAAGAAAGAATAACTCATCGGTCGCAATGACTGCATGAACCAATGTTTCCGAATTAGCGATTTACGAGGAATGTTGATACAAATAACAACATTTTGCAGGTGATCATCTGACAAAATTCGGTAACTTCATTTAAAAGAATAGAAAGCAATGAACGTTGTCCGTACGTTAATGATGTATGGCGTGGCTGAGAAGAAGGCCGTCCCGAACACGGCTATGGCGCCCATGCCCGTAGACCGCATCGTGGTGGGGTAGAGCTCCGAGACTTGCAGGTAGAGGCCAAACAGTGCAGACGTGCTCAGCCACTTCAGCAGACTCACCACCACCAGCAGCGCTGTTTTATCTGCAATCAATTTACATTCAGTCGTTTCTGTTCCTAATTTTAGAAGTGGATTTTTACTTTACATTGTGACTTTAAAAATATGATTCGCTACTGTTGGATTTATATCAGTAGTAACATTAGTAACCGTGTAGAGGAGTGCAACCTGGACTGTTCTGAATGTCTTTTTAATAAATAAAACAGACGTGTTGCGATGTTGCCGGATTGACCCTGAAGTCCGGGTTAGTAGCCACTAAAGTCCCAGATCATTTTAGATTAGGCTCTACCTGAGGATCGGGTTACGAGACTAAGGTCGTGGAGGATAAGTGTAACACTTGTGTCTGATAACATCTCTTATATACGGGGTGGTTATGCATTACGATACAGAGGTATAAGCTACGGCGTCGACCGTAAGGTCGGAGAACTCAACCCACACGATACATCGCGGAGCGCTTATCAGCTACTGCGGGAGGCCTTACTTAAGGTTGCAGCCCTTATATAGACTTCGGCTTCCGCCCACAACTAAGGTCTTGATCGCATGATCTAACACGTGTCTCCAGATGCTGCCTCATGTCATCAATCTCAATCAGGTCAAGTGAATATTAAGTTTCAATTACATACAATTATAGTGATTATAGTGAGACGCCAGACTGACACCGGACACCAATAGCCTTATTCTGTCTGCGCCACGCCAGGGGCGCAGCCTAGACTCGACTTCGAAGCCTAGACTCGACTTCGGTTCTTACATACTGTTGTCATCTTTCTTGTTGAATGAAATCTTAATATTTGGTCATCTTTGTTTCCTTCGTGAGTTGAACTGCGCTAGGCGTGTCGAAACTGATGGGTTATTACGGAATAGGTTGTGGTCTTGGGTTACGCACAGTCCATAAGGGCCCCGGAACAACAGTACCTCATGCCTAAATTGTAGTTGGGATTCTAATACATGTGTTCTAGCTCCATTTTAATTAGAACAACGATGATGGATGAATTAAATAAATAATGACTGATGAAATAATTACTCTTATTTTTCTTCATTATTCGCCTTATTTAAAAAATGAATAATCAATGTATTAAATACAATGGACCATACAGCAATATCTCACGAGACAACGGCTAATAATTCTCATACGATTAATGTGGCTACCGATCACAGCTTCATGATAAAATTTTTTTCAATCAAATTAAAGATACTGATTACCTACATAGTAAATGAAAGAGACGATCAGTCTTTTAAATTTCTGTAGCGTCAGCTGATTTTCAAGAATATTATTAATACTGCAAGCCGAGAGGGACGATGAAGTCGGAAGCTCTAAGATCAATACACTTGCTTGATACAATATAATTAAATCCTACAATAAACAGTTATTCTTAGCTACAAAAGCCCTTCAATTTGATCAGAAATCATAATAATAATGGGCTTAGAAGATTTCTGAGGGAGCTAATTACATATTCGAACCGAATATTACGTTTGCCATCGAAATATTTTAGTGTGAATTTAGAAAAACTGAAGACAAGACTCACCATGCCCGACGAGTGCGGCAACGCAGCACGTGCCGGCACACAGCAGGTAAGTCAGGACGGCTGACCACAAGAATAATATTCTCTTATATTGTGACATGAGGGGCGTAAATTATAGGAGCTATATGATATGATATTTATATTTGGCAGTTATGGCATACGATAATGGCAGTTATGTGAATTGTAATTGTCAGTTAAAATGAAGACCCCGCTAAAAGATAGTCATATTGTGAATGATATTGTTGTATCATGAGCCATAAAAAAATTACAAATAAAATTATAAGCAATGAGCTTATACAATGCTTTAAATATATTAGTAGGATGCGGGCAACACAAATCATGTACCTCGTTGCATATAAAATGTAGGAGTACCTAATTTTCAACAATTGAACTCTCTTAATAGTGTTCAGTGAAGTGATCAAAAACAATATACATCAAATGAAATGAAAATCACTTGGTAAGAATTTGCACAATAACCTGAGAGGCGCCGGCCGAGGTATTGCACACCGAGCCAGCCTGTGACTTGTGACGGGAACTCCATCAGAGAAAGCAGGAAGAAGTTCATGAAATAACTGTTGTCGATGAAGTTCACATCGAGGCTGATCACCCCGTAGACCACGTAGCTGGCTGCCCTGCTCAACAATGCATTTCTTAACCTTGATCGAGTTGAGGTACTGGTGCGCGCTACAAGCTCGGGTGCAATGATTTGAGGACTTCGTTCTTTAAGGAACTTTTTAGTTGGCTTTCACTATACGTATGCAGCGATACATTTGCTGGTCATTGAAGTACGTAGTTTTCTATCCCAATCTAAATTAGAATGTACAGTTTAAGAATGAAACAGTAGCTAACAATCATAAAAATGAAACTTCCCGCATAGTGCAACGACGTCCGTCTTCCGTCTAATTCAGTGGTTCTTAACCTGGGTTCGATCGAACCCCAGAGGTTCGGTGAATCGTTTTCTGGGGTTTGACGGTTTGCTTCATGGGACGTCACGCAATTGCAGGGAACTGAAGCAAGCAATTACAATGCACTTAGATGAGCTCGCAAAGTCTCTTGACGAATACTTCCCCACCACAATCTCATACCCAGCATGGGTGAGACAGCCTTTCACGTTTAGTGTTGCGACCGCAGATGTGAATGATGAATACCTGCAGTAAATCTTTGGACTGCAGGAGAACCAGGTTCAACAACAACTCTTCAGAACAACAACGCTCTCAACGATTTGGTGTCTCCAAATCGCAACGTACCCCCTTATTGCTAAAAAAAAACCTGGATATTCTCATACCGTTTTTTACAACATATTTTTGCGAGCAGTCCTTTTCGATGATGGCAAACATCAAAACAAAGAAAAGGAACAATCTTTGTTGCAAAAATGATATGAGAGTGGCACTTGCGCAGGTGAAGCCGCGCATTCTCGAAATTGTCGCACTGCGGCAACAACAAAAGTCACGTTGATTTGCAATGAATACTCATTTTGTTTTTGTTTATGTGCGAAATTTATGTTGTGTAGGTTTTGTTTCTTTCTACAAAGTGATTTTATGTGCCAATGATGCGTGGTACAGTTTATGCAGTTATACAGTATATAGTTATATAGCATAGACATATGTTTTGAATTAAAAAAAATTCTTTTTCCACCTACGAAGGGTTCGATGCAGGGTTCGGTCCCAGTAAAAAGGTTAAGAATCACTTGTCTAATTCATTGTTCCGTTTAGAGCGCTGTCATCCGACGCCAAAGAGGATTTAGATGCTGTCGGACACACTCTCGGTAATGATTAATATTTATTTGTATACACAACATCCGCGCAACAGTGCTCAGTATCTATTTGCATACACAACATATTATTACATTTATTTTATTTAGCGATATTCGAATTTCTAACTAGTAAGTTTTTTCTACCATTCTTGTTAGTGGCACTGATTCAAACGTCATTGTTATATACGAGAACATCATCGTAACATCACGAAACATCATCGTGTCACGTTTTTCTTGAAACATGAATCGAATTTTAATAAGTTTCACTTAATTTGCTTCAGTGAATATTTCATCTCGATCTCGCGAACTGAAAGTTCTTGCTTGCTAGTAATGGAAAAGCCGGTGCATGAGGCTCATCGTTAGCTTTTAATATTGGTGCTTATAGAAATAATTCCCGTGTCCCATACACACGACGCGATTGGGATTGACTTTCTATTTGGAGCTACATACTTTCTCAGAACCTATGATTTTTACTTTAAATAATTTCGCAAAAATAGTTTAACGATCATAGCTGTACAAACACCGCGTCAAATTTATTTTCCCATTGGTTGATTTTTTAATCATTTAAATTATAATTATCCAGTAAGCACGCTTTTTTCCAATTCTTGTACACTCCTGTATCGGCTTAACTTTTTGCTGTACATCTAACCAATTCTACTTTTATAAAGCAAAAAATTCAAGATACAAGTAATCGAAATAACCATAAGTCTATGGCAATTGCAATCTTAACACCTATCTGTGAAGTTTCTGTGACGTGATACCTCCTTTCAGTAAGTTAGATGAACGAGACTACTAATACTGTTACAGCGTAACCAGTTGTTGGGTAGCGTATCCAGTCAAAAAGTCGATAAGGACTGATTTTTTCATGCATCATTTCTGCAGATAATCTTTTCAAATTTTAATATAATTTTAATATAATTTTAATATCGCTAAAGACTTTGACAAGTGACACCATTAACATGATGAAAATCTGGTTGGTCATGGTCGCACTCTGATCTATTTAAAATACTCAAGCTTACGCAAAACTTCATGCAAGAGATAGTTAAAATAAAAAATTCTGCAATTTTAATTGGCAATGTACTATATACAAAAAAAATAACTCAGTACTCACTGCAGTGAGTGACAGAGCGCGCATTTTCTCGTCGAAGAAAACGTGGTCACGGACGAACAGACGGACGGACATGACGAGCACAATAACGTCTTTTTTCCATAAATGAGAAAATGCGCTAAAAAGATGAAAACGTCTACCACTCAAGTGAAGTATAGCGAAACATAACTTTAGGCATAAATCTTACATTTACATAACAGTTATGTACGGTAGTTGAGACGTGGTATGGTGAGTACCAACTCAAGTTCCGACCTTGAGAACAACCGTTAGAATGCATTTGTTTACATGAAAACCGCTTCTAATTAAATTGAGCTCAAGCGTTCACGAGAACTATTTACGTATCATTAGAATACTCACTGGTCATCAAAGAAACTCGCATTAAAGAATTACTACTGTTCAACTTTACCAATGTGATTAGAAGGGTAAATCAAGGCGCAAGTAGCGACCGGGGTTGACCCGTCGTTGATTGCGGCTTAGCCCTATCTTAATCCTTCCCCTGGGGCTCTAGCAGTAAGTGATTTTCTTTATAAATTTCATTTCACTGCACCTAGTGCTTCAGTGGGGCACAAAGCTGACCTCGATCATAATGTTCGGGGCGCGCAAGCCGGAGGACAGCTCTGCTCAATTTCATACTTCAGCTCATATTCCTTTCTGTTGTTAAGCACGCTAGGAAAAATAGTAGCCTATGAATTCAAGAGTTTAAAGTCGTAGTGCCGTATGTCAATAGCCACCGCTTAAGCATGCTGAAGTTAAACATGGTCATATTACATCTGGTCAAACCTACTTTGGCCAAACCTTGTCTGGCCTAACGTACATAAGTTGCAACATTTCTCCACCAAAATGAACCTGAGGGAACCTAACCTAACCAGATCGGAGTTTGGAAGGAAGTTTGAGAGGCAGGACAAGTGAGCAGGTGGAGCCAATCATTGGCTGCAAGGAAGTTGTGAATCAGGGCAGCGTGAATAGGTTAGGCCAGAGAAGGTGAGGCCGGATGCAGTACAGTCATCCTAGGTGCGAACAGGCTCAAGTATTTTATGATGTCCTATGGCTTTATTATCTTTGACCAGTGTTTCACCGGTCTGGATTACGGTGTTTCATCGTAGTCGGCCTCATATCTCTGAGGCTGAACGTTTGTTCCAGGGCTTATTAAAAAGCTAAATTTGTTGACAACACTTGAGCCACCCGAATATTACCCCCTAAATTTTCATTGCTTACACTTAGTGCTATAGCATCTTGCAAATTCTACCATAAATTCCCCCGTCATTCTTCTAGCGCTCCATCACCGTGAAAATTCAACCTCAACTTTAACCCTTTCTGCCACCCAGCGCTCTATCACCATGCCAGTTCTGTCATAGGACTTTGGGCGCCGCTGCTCATTACTGACTACAGCCAGTACCACTTAGCACGAGGCCACTAGACCGATAGCAATAGGCGATTAGTACCAGCCAGTTTGTTTGCGTCAACGGGCTTTGTCGCACGATGTACAAACACCTTTATGAACATGTAGTCTATAAAGCAGACAACCCTAACATTTGCGGTACTTTTGAACACATCAGTCATAGGGAATATGCATGTAGGATTAACTTCAAATCGGGCACAATGGTTTTCGCTCTTCATTAGCCTGATCCAAAGCTCAAGTGTGCGCGTCTGGTCAATAAGACATCGTTGGAAAGTTGCTACTTGATAGCACCAGTGCTAAATACTAACAAATGAGATTCAGATTATGAATGGGATCGATCTTGTTTGTAATTGCAATAGTGCGACACTCACGAGATACAGCACAGCAAGATGACGGTCCTGAAAAATGTCGGATACCGCCTTATCTCTGCGAACGTTATCGCCGCCGGTTGCTGCTTCTCTATAGCAGTCAGCTGCTGCTGCAAGTCTTCTGCACTCGCTCCTGTCACTTTGTTCACCTCCGCGATCTAGGGAGAGGAAATAATTTATTCCAATTAGTCATGATGCGTTAGTTTGCAAGATTGCCTCATGTTCTCGCTATCATCACAGAAAGATTCAGTGCAGATTCATCACAGAAAGATTCAGATAATCAATGGAGATGCACTGGTTTAACCGCTGTCCCCTTCCTACTCAGGAATATGCATCAGTATGTAAGAAAAATTCATCTCTCGTATTGTTTTTATTCTTAAATTTATTTGTAATTTGACGCGTCCACAGCAGGGATCCGTTTTTTTTCTTTCTGAGAAGTTGGAGTTACGTGATTACAAGTTATCGCTGATGCGCTGTTCCTGATATTAGTGATCAATATTGCTCCCGGAATATACTTGAAATAACGTAAACCTTAAAATAAAATACTCCTTCCAAATGTTCCGCGGCCTATTAATTCATTTATTTTAACTAATAACACTCGAACCCTTTTTAAAAACTATGGCCAAACTGTTCCACCATCACCATTCATTCAAAGTGATATTAACATCTATGCTACGAATTTCTGTGTAAATAATCAATTATTCTAATTTGCCAGTTGTCACACCTTCATTAGGATCTTGGTGGCTTCTGGAGTTCTGTTCTTGGACAGCAGCCAGCGAGGGGACTCGGGCATCATCCTGCAGCGACGAAGAGATTCTTAGAAACCAAAATGTTGTTAAATGTTATTGATTTAAATGCGATTTGTGAAGTGTACTTATAATAATTGTTAAGAAATATATCGAAGGTATACATCGGAAACAAGAATTGGATAAGTAAATTCCTACAAATAATTTTTTGGTCATTAGACTCAACCGTAACCTAGAAATATGTTGTTGCAGGAGAACTAACAACACGTTACATTGATAGTTAAATTTTGACTGTCCTCGAAAGTTCAATTTGTAAAAAGGTAGTAAGTATGGATGAAATGCAATTGCATCATTTAAAAAATAATATTCAAATGAAATTCCAAAATCAAGAACAATGCGATATATATTGCTAGGTATTCGTTAGAGCTCTTTGATCAAAGATGAAAACAATATGGTTCGGCTGGGTCCAAACGTTGGCGTTGTTGATGCTTAGTAGTCATGAAATCAAATATTGGCAAGTTGTCCGGCCAATGAGACTGGAAGGAATTATGCAGCTGTCATACACGTGAACCCAGCGGAGGCGCGCAGTACTGTTGGACGCGCTGGAAGCCTTGTTTCCCAACGGTCGCTGCCCAGTAGAAACATCCAGTCGCGCTCGTCAAACAATTTATAGTCATTCAACTTTCATGAAAGATCGTCCAGGCGGAAGGGTGAGCCGGTGGCAAGACCATAATCGAGGATGGTCCTCTGGGCCTGCCGTATACGGTGGATGCATCCGGTCATGGTTCGATCTAAGACAAAAGGTGCGTATACACGGGGCTAGTATTAGCGGCGAATTTTCGCAGCGAGCTGTCCCACTCCCAGTTCTGCGGGCTGAAAGCCTATACGCGAGGCGAATATTCGGTAAACAGTCCGGAATTGCCAGTGCGTCGTTGGGATTCGTGTGTGCGCGTGAACACATCGAACAAGCTTTGTGTGCGTACTTTGTAAGTCCCCCAACCACAACCACACAGGTAAACATGCACCATTAGACCCACCAGTACACAGCAAACATGTAAGAGTCGAGCAGCAGTGACACGGTGCTGATGTACCGCCAGTCGCCGGCCGCCCAGGCCAGCAGTGACGTCAGACACATGCCCACCGTCCACGCGGCGAAGGAGAGCGTCTCTGCGAGGGCGCGCTTGCCGGGGGCTATCAGCTCCAAGCCTGCGCGACATTAGGGCAAGTGCGCCGTGCGCCAAGAATATTCTTATACAGGTATTAATATCACTTTTTTGTTTGAATCGCAAATTCACTCTACATTTATGAGCTAAGAAGATTTCACGAAATCAAGAGCAATTTTCTTTGCTCTCAAACTTCCCGGAATATTCATAGCAAAAAGTTTACGTGAACGCAACTCAGGCTAGATGCACTGCTACAAAACGCACTCAAATTTAAATCTAGAATTTGGCTACGCTGCCAGGCGATTGAATTTTACCGGATGCTTTCTTCCATTTGGTAAAGAATTGCCCGTGAGCATATACCAAGCATATTAAATATACCTGCACAGAATGTAATTACATTTAACATTGCATCTTGAATATGAAGGTGCTCGGGCATTCATGCATTTCACCGATGAGCAATAAACGACTGATGTTAATTAAGGGTAGCTATATCGGACGCCCGGGGTGCATGCCGGAGGCCAGCTTTGCCGAACTTCACACTTAGTTCATATTTCTTTCCGTAGGTAAAAACGCAATAGGGCACAACAACCTATGAAATCAAGTGCTCGAAGCCATAGCGCCGGATGCCCACAGCCCCACAAAATAAGCTTGCTGAAGGTAAGCGTGGCCATACTGCATCTGGCCAAACCTCTTCCGGCCTAACCTACACAAGTTGCAAAATTTCACCACCTATAACAAACCTGAGCGGACCTAACCAAACCTAACCAATGCATTGGCTGCAGAAACTTAGAAAGGCGGTCCAAGTGTGCGGGTAGAGCCAGTCATTGGCTGCAAGAAGGTTGTGAGCCGGGACAGTGTGAATAGGTTAGACCAGAAGAGGTTAGGCCGGAGTAGGTCCAGCCGGATCAGGAACTGCCTGCTTATGAGCGAGCATGCTTGAGCATTGGCTGAAGACATACGGCGCTATTATCTTTCGGCAGTGTGTCGCTTGTCTGGATTACGGAGTTCAAGCGTAGTCTGCGGTTTCTAGCTCTGAGGCTTAGCAAAATTAATGCATGGAGAAGCTAGCGACGCCTAGCGTTGACTCCAGGGGCCTATTTAAAGAGTAAAATTTGTGGCCTATGGCTGCGCCCTCTTGAAAAGTTTTAGCCTCCACAACCGGTGATTCTTACCTGCGAATTTTTGAGTCTCTGTATACTTTCAAACAAAAGCCTAGTTTAAATGTCACCTACAGTTCACATACATAATACGTTCACATAATATCATAATATAATGTGAGTTTCAGTTTGCTAATTGTTTGTACGTGTGTTCTGGGTTTTTGAACTGATGAGTTAGCTTTTAAGAAAACCTAACCTAACGAAACGTTTTCTTTCTTAAGAAATGGCAGGAATTTTTAGGCAGAAATCTTTGCTTTCGAATTCTTGATGAACTTTCGATTTAAGCAATCAGATGATCTTTATATATATTACACTTGTATTATTACCTTTATGAAGTGAAAATAGAGATACTCGTCGAAACTTTTCAATGAAAACATGGGGAATTTTCTTAACATTTGTTTTGCATTAAAATTTTAATTCGAAAAAGCATTTTCAAGTGAGTGAAAAGAATCGCGTGCTCGCAATCTTTCGAAAACTTATATCCAACACAAAGTACAGCACGCTTACACTGCACTGCTTTGTAGTCGGAACGATTGAAGCGTGCTAAATCTAAATCATTTCGCAAAGCCAGCCAATAATGAAGTAAGCTTTATTCGTTGAGATAACTTGAGGCAAATCATCACAACTACTTCACTCCAGTCATTATTTAGATTATATAATTATGAAAAAATGTTAAAATGGCATTTATGTAGTTCCAGCTTTTGGGTAAAATATCTTTAATGTGTCAGATAATTTTCAGGAACTAACTGATGATGTAGCTCATCTGGTAGTTGGTCTGGAAGCTGCAGCTCGCCAAAAATCTCCAAACGAGATGGAGAGGGAAGTTCGAGGTGAAGATTGCGGCGAACTCAAAAATAAAATGGAAGAAGATGGAGACCAGGTACATCTGTCTGCGTCCAGTGCTGAAATAATATTAATAATTCCAAATAATTTTAGCATTGAAATTAATATACTGGGCATTTCCCACAATATATTACTTTTCATCTTAAATATATTTTTTTTTCAAATATCAGCTTGAGCATCAAAATTGAATTCTTTGAAAATGACAGTGCAGGTTAGCTTTTTTCTCATGGGCTATAATGCTGAGTGGCCCATGCATATGGGACAGGGACGCGCGGGGGGCATGAGGTTACCTTCAGTGCTTTTTTTAGAGTTGAGGAAGCAAAACAACAACAGATGCACTAACTGGAACTAATGCAAATCCAGATTAAGGAGCTGCCTGACCAAGGGACGCCTGACTGAGTTGCATCGCTGCAGGTAAGCGCACTAAGAAGCCAGAGTCTGGCATTCGCTGGCCAACATTGAGGGGCTCTTCCCACAAAAAGCGGGTCACAAGATGGCCGACGAGGGTGAGATATTTATGATTGCACTAACGGAGATGCATAGAAGAAAAAATATCCTTGACGCAGAAATTACAATGGAAGGATTCCAACACTACCGTGCGGACCGGAAAGAAGTGAGGTAAAAAGGAGGAGAAATTATTTACCTTAGGAACTTCCTCGCAAGGAGCACGGTGGAATTGAGATAGGAATGGGAACTCGATGACGAGGGAGGGCATGATGACACTCTACTTATCAGCGAGAGAGGGCACGATGACGCACAACTAATCAGTGACGGCTGGCATGATGACGCAAAACTTATCAGCGAAAGAGGGCATGATGACACACTACTTATCAGCGAGGGAGGCACGATGACGCACAACTTATCAGTGACGGCTGGCATGATGACGCAAAACTTATCAGCGAGGTAGGGCATGATGACGCACTACTTATCAGCGAGGTAGGGCATGATGAATGTGCTGATGCAGCTGCCAGCTAACTACTTATCAGCGAGGGAGGCACGATGACACACAACTAATCAGTGACGGCTGGCATGATGACGCAAAAGTTATCAGCGAAAGAGGGCATGATGACGCACTACTTATCAGCGAGGTAGGGCATGATGAAGGTGCTTATGCAGCTGCCAGCTATGTTCGCCGACATGATGTGCACCGAGTATAGCTCCCTGTCACACACCCAGTCGTTGGTGGTAGCCAGTGTCTCGTGCAACAAAGAACGATCGTACTCCCACGATGTACAGCCTGTTTGTACACCATAAAACAATTCAATATTAAATATAAATAAATTTTACCCATCCATCATTTAATCTCCGTTAATGATACTTTGTATCACTATCTATGAAAAAATTCATGATACTTACGTACATAGTGCTACCTCGGTGTACGAACTGATCTAGGTCAATCGTATCGACGTTCCCACAAACCACTCATAAATCGTCATGTTATAATAAGAGGTGAACAAACAATCTGATTCGTGCTTTGCCCTCTTAACTTCTTATAAATTAAGAACACTTGTTATGAAATGAAAGAGGAATTGAGGCAAGCTCGTTTCAACCAAATTCGGGTAGTGCAGAATCCAAATATGGAACCTGTTTACACGGTAACCAGGGTACCGGTAAGCGAACGGTAACCCTGAATTCGAATTCAGTGTTAATTATTATATTATGAGACTTTTCGCCTCATTTCATAGTATAAACTAAATGTAAGTGATAGCATTACATAAAGCATACGTGCACTCAATTCACATTGGTAGTTTTCTGAGTCATTAGAAGTTGTCTCGCAGGAGACGGAGGTTAGTGCCATTTCCATATCGTTTTGCACACCTTTCTACACGTTTAAATATTTGTATCACATTTTTTAATTTTCAGCACTTCATTGCCTTGCAAATGATTTATTGCTTTACTAGTTTAGATTTTAAAATTCTTCGATGGATTCAGACACCTCAAAACGTCAAAAATTTCTCAACAAGGCCAAGTTTTTCTGCCATTGATGACTGGGGTCGTCACATTAGCTGCACGGTGTCGAACCCTTGCACTCCACGTAACCACCAACTTAAGTGAACTATTTCGAAAGTAAAATTTATGACCAGGACAAGTTTTGGGCTCTACGTACATATCTGAGTTAAACCCTGATACAACGGACTAATTAAATTGTGTATATAATGGCTGAAAATCGACTTACATCTTTTCAGTCGCGACGGCTTAAAGTGAGCCAGCCACAAAGCTCACGGATGATTGTGATATTTATCAAAGTATTAGAACAGGTATAAATGTATCGTACCGGAGAATATAAACCTGAGTGGTAGGAGTACCGGCGTAGGAAAAAGCAGTCAAAGCTTCTCGACTTAACCGTAAAGCCTGGTTCGAGAAAATGTGATATTTTCAATTAGCAGGAATCGTAATGAAGACATGTAATTTAAAATTCATTTTTTAGTGATTGATTTTTTACAGTACTATTGTATTCGAGTCTGATATGGTTTCATGATGAATATCGCTTAAAATATAAGCTAAGTTCAATATTTTATTTTCCGAGATTCCAGTCCTGTTCTCAGTCAAGTAGAAGACATCAGCAACATGGTAGAATCTTTTGTACATCCAATGCCTTTTAATCGTTTATTTTGTACTAATTTAAAATTTTCCATTTTATAGTCACGAAAAAGATTAAGTAAATAACTCGCACCTTATTTTTGTAGTTCATACTTACTCATGGTCTCGTTACTTCGATATGGCGTGTAGTCATTTTCCCAGTATATCACATAATGTTCACATTTTTCAAATTTAGAACCATCCGAGGATCTGAAATAGAAGATTGATTTACTAAGCTCACGTAAATTAAGCTCAATAACGAGTGACATTCAAGTTAAGGAACGATCATCACGATAGTTGCTCTGGATCGGTTATTCAATAGATTTCCGATTATATTTTAAAATAATCGGATGCACTGTTTATTTGGTGTGCAAAGAATCTACCGTTTCCTATCGAGGAAATGTAACAATTTACATTTTTTCAATCACCATACAATTTTTTAGTAATCAATGCCAAACAGTTAAGGGCGTCAAATTGGGTCAGAGCATTGAACCTGTTAATATACAGTTGGCGACAAAATTATTCGTACACCCCTTTCTTGTCAATGTTTTCTTGGATGACTCGAAATTAATGAATTTATAAGCCGAAGACTTGTTTGAACTAAGCAGTATGGATTAGAAAAAAACACTACATTTTCAGAACAAAATGTAATTTCAGTACGTGCAAAACAAACAAAATGTAATTTTCGGTACGTAAACATGCAAAAATTCCCCAAAACCTTCAGACATAATTGTTCTTACAGTTGGAAAATACTAACTTAGTTGCAATATTAATAATCAATGGCATGCTGGCCCGATCCTCCAATTTGACTCCGTGTGATTTTTTATGCGATTATTTTAAATCAATTGTTTACAATTACTGTCCAAGGACCACACCTCATTTGAAGAACAACATACGCGTAGCCATCATTAACATTCCTGCCAACTTGCTTCAGCGAGTTGAACGGAATTTCAAAATCTACTAATGCATTGACAATGTGGGCCGTCATTTGTCCAATGTCATCTTCAAAACTAAATAATACAAAACTTAGGAAATTTATTTTTTCAAAAAATTATATTATAATGATATCTATACTAGTTCTTTTCTTATTGACCTGTCAAATCAGGAAGATTCCGTGAATCACCTACATAGTTATGCACGCGCTGACAAGCTCGCTCATGAACGTCCGGGAAGCTTTTGTCCACTGCTTCCGTTCGAGGCTTGAAGTGCTGCAGTCTCTGGGCAGCTTGCAGGAGCGGTGGGAGACTATTCTATTATTATGGACCAACTCTTGCCATACTCTCAGGAGACTATTAAATCGGCACGGCAGGCTAACTAGTAGCTGATGTCGTTCGGGCGGCCAAGCAGACCCAGAATAACTCTAACCCAACTATGGCGAGTCTGCCGCGGAGGCTGAGGCATACCTCAAATTTTGTTAGGGTAGAGGCACTAACACGTCAATGGCAATGTCTTACCTTGTACAAGACCTAATTAAGCCATGTCGGGCAAAAAAGCAACAGTGTTGCCCATTTTCTTGACTCGCAAAAGGTATTTGATTGTGTAAATTATCAAATTTTCCTGAATAAACTTCACCACTATGGTATTTGTGGTCATTTTTATTCATAAAGTAATATCCCACGATTAGAAGAAATACGTTTCACTTCACTAATTCATATCAAATTCTCTAAAAACCAATAAAGATAGATTACCATACAGCATATACCTTGGGCCTCTTTATAATCTTATTGGGCTATTTTTTATGGTCCTGTTTCCGTTTTATGGAACACCACTATCAAAGGAAAAACTTTAGATTGAGTAAAAAATTTATCGAACTGTTCTGATCTTCAACAACAAGGTTTTTTTAGAAACACACCCAAATGGAGAAATACGACGAATATACAAGGGTTGGACAAAATATGGAAAACGCTTTGAAAATCTGCAAAATATATACTATTACGGTGCAGGTAGACCTGTTACGTCAATTACAACCTCAATTCTCCTCTCCAAGGTATTTATTTATTCAAACAAATCATGAATATGTTTACAAAGTGATTTCGACCTATTCTTCAGTTAAATCCTTTTTCATTTAAACCATAGTTTAAACCCTCTTTCGGCCTTATTTTTGACCCTCTCCAAACGTAAATTCGGCAAGAGGTCGGAAATAATGCAAACGATGATACGACAGAGAAAATAAAATTTTTCCATTACTCGAGGCACCAATCCTGGAGGTTTTCACACAACTATATAAACATTTTGAAGCTTTTGTATTTGAGACCGGAGGTTTTCTAATTGCGGCGCCAGATTCGTGCATCTCCTGTCAAAAAGTTTTTATTAAAACTGTACTCTGAATGTGTTCATTGAGGTCTGCTGTAATTTTAGGAGCCGTGATTTATCTATTTTCTCTGATAATTCGGTCAGACCTGTGCTTCACTGTGAACTTTTTCCCTTCTCCTTTAAAAACAGTAATCACTTTTGAGGCAGTACCTCTTGAAACGTCCAGCGTTCGGGAAGTTTCTGTCACACTAGCACCTGACATACGGGCACTAACAGTTCGACCTCTATGAAAGTCAGGGATATTTGCCATTTATATAAGGTTATAGCCGAAGCAATTCTCTAAAAATTTCCGTGAAAGCATGAAATATTAATTGCAGGCAATTATAAATAATAAAGCATTAAAACATACCAAGTATTTAGTGTTAATAACGCGTTCAAAAATTATTGTCGTAAAATGTTTGGGTTTTACCTTACGTTTTCTAAACCTTGTGTGTTGCTATTAAATAAATTGTACAACAGCTAGTCCTTAAAAGAGAGTATAACCGCACACTTCATCAAAATTCAACACAAATCGGCAAAAAATTTGCTGATATCACTTTTTATTTGCGAATTTTACATCACACCTTATGTTAACGAGCAGAGATTATCGAGAAATCTTGAGCTGTTTAATGAAGGCTACGAAAATTAGTAATAAAATACGGGCGTAGCTCTGCTGAAGTAGAAGGCGTTTTGAAGTTTTAAAAGTTGAATGTATGTTACTGGGTAATAAAAAAAAAACAAGATGTTTATTTGACGGGCAGGCAACTTTTACGTCGGGATTCTCCTACTTCTCATAGGGATATCAGAAAAGAGTTATACTTTATTGTGGTACCCACGTCTTGAATGTATACTACACATTAGATTGATAATGCAACGAGGCATGAAGCGAATTTCTCACATTGGAATGGTGAAGTTCTTCCACTCGTCGACTGACATGGAGCTGGACTCCCGTCCTTCCACATGACACCAGTGATCAGGCACAATCGTTATGAATATCCTGGTGCTGACCTGTGAGTGGGAAAATTTCAGGTTCTGAACCAAAACGGAAAAATTGCTTGTATGATCGCTCAGAATAACTTGGATGGGACCTTGAAAAACGCAAACTGAAACCAGGATACTTTCTTTGTTACAAGTAATGAGTGAAATCGTTTTCTGATCCTGTATTAATCTACGGGATTTCTTTCATATCTACGACAAATATTCTACAGTTAACGACGAAATTATTCGAACACCCCATTCTTTCTAATATTATTTTTGAAAAACTCGAAAATTAATGAATGCATGAGCCTTAGATCTGATTGAACAAAGTTGTATGTAATACGGCAATTGCGTATGCAATCAAAACAAATGAATGTTTTCACACAAAAAAGTGCATTGGGTAAAACGAGTGCGCTCTATCTCCCTGAAAAACTGAATGAGATGTAAGAAAATATCTTCAAAAAAATTCCAAGTACATATGTAAATGTGTAAATCATCAAATGTGCTTGTATGAGCCATTAGAAAATAAATTGATGGAAACGAACGAGAAAAGGACTATAATTATTATTTGACTTACTAAAATTGTACAACCTGTCCATCCATAAGATCAGAAAAGAAAAAAATTATTTCAATAATTAGTAACATATTTTGTTGAGAGCCACAAGACATTGTTCACCTGTAAGCCAATGATCAACGATGTCATTGAGACCACAAAGAACATCATCCTGTGTTGGTAAGGGCCGTAGCTCCCGATAGACTCCAGGATCGTGTCGAAATCTTTCAATTCCATTTTAGACACTATTTCAAGCCTCACGTTTCGGAAATTTTGTTCCTTGGTGGAGTGCAAATCTCTAACTTGAAGTGGGGTTTGAATGTTTCAAGTGGTCACGAGTTCCAATATCACTTCATCTGAGCCCGCTTGATCATCGTTTCTTATCTACACCGGCCCCTCGTGGCAACGTTTTTCGCATTGTTCAGTGCTTGTGCTCCCTTCTGATTTCTGGACTAGCAGTACCAAACCAAACCGTAAGTGCTTGTCACTAGGAATTAGTGACTATTCCTTTGCGCTCCTATCTATTTTATTCTATTATATATTCGACCGCCTTATCAGCAAATACTTGTGCCTTCGCTTTCTCCCTTCTTTATATTCCTATCCCTCCTCCTGCAGGGGCATAGTAAGTATGACAACTTATTTTAGTAAGACAATTGAACAAGGACTTTGGTAGCCACACTGTCGACGAACTGAAACAAGAAATCATCGCAACAATCATGGCTTCAAATCCAAAAAATTGTCAAAATAAAACATAACACCCACGTAATGAAAATCATCTCCACTGATACCACAAAAGCACAAAGAGAACTCACCGACGGTTTCTATATGTGCAATGCAAAAATCACCTCCTAATTGTGCGAGGAGGAAAGATATTTATTCATTCATTCATAATAATACGGTGGATACTCCATAATTGAAGAAAAGCCCCCCACCTCCTCATCTGATATAAACGCTACAAATGGAAAATCATCCCACCCATCAATACACCGCAACCATACCATATTGTTCCGAATGTGCTGCTAACTACCACATGTATACTTAATGTACCAAACCAATCAAAAAAGGGTTAAACTACAAAACGAACACCATACACTTGCCGTAAATTGCATTTACCGCAAACAAGTCACTCAGATGAAATGACGAACACAACAGGAAAAAATCTAGCAAGAAACCATCCTAACATAGGTGCATGGATATTGCGAAACAGGCTATACAGCAAACAAATACCTCACAGTACAACTAAACTCTCACAAGTTCGACACAAATTACACTTTCTGTATTGATGCCGAAGGCACACATTGCCAGCCTCTCGCGTCAGCAAAGATTCGGCGTAATATTATCGCAATCGCTAAAAGGCAATTACAACATAGACGCAGTATTTCCAGAACGCGACTCGCTGAAATTTATAACTTCTACTCGTCCAGCACCAAAGTCTCCGACGCTGACTTCGACTTAAAGCACAGAATGCATCGATGACGACGACGCACGACAACCTACCCTAAATCTGTCCCGCCCACCAACTGAAGACGATAACCGCCGAGTCGAGCGAGACCCAGTCAACCAAGGCTTCCAGTGACCTCAACCAACCGAAAGGGAAACTTAGCGACGACCAGTTCCAAGACTCAAATTACAAAAGAATTCATTTATGCATCTCGACATGACAAGCCCATACCTGTAATTCTAGTCAAAAGCACAAAAGATCCCTGCGAAGTTTCGCACGCATCGAGCAATAACTGGTACAATAATGAGCTACGAAAAATTGAAGACGGACTAAAGATCTCAGTGAGGGACACAGGCTCGATGAAAATAGTAGACTTGATGAGACGCGACAAACTCGAGTTCTACAAGCCCGCCATCAACCTCATTCCAGATGACTTATTCAATAGCATGGACCGAATCAGTACCATTACAACAATCACCTCAAAAAATACGAGAGCGTTAATTTCTGAACATACCCTCCGAACATGACTTCACCACGAACAATAAAAATATAACACAGCGTCCAAATCTGGAACAACAAGAAATTCGTTTTGCCAAATATATACAATAACATCGACCCAGACAACATCCTCCTCAAAGTTTAAACGATCACGCACTCAACAGCCTTCTGAAGAATTTTAATCACCATACATACACCTGCAACAAAGAAAACGAACCTCATTCCGGTGCCGTGGTTGCAATAAAAAGCCACATTCGTTACAAATTACATGACAACTTTCATTCTGACATGCTCGCCATTACTATAGACACCCAACAGGGCCCTATCACAATAGGAACCGCCTACATACCTCCACGCATAGGCTGCATCAACTACATCGACTTTCGTACCTTTCTTAACAGACCTCACCCGGTGTACCTATTTACAGACTTGAATGCCAGTCACCCATTACTATAGACACCCAACAGGGCCCTATCACAATAGGAACCGCCAACATACCTCCACGCATAGGCTGCATCAACTACATCGACTTTCGTACCTTTCTCAACAGACTCGGTGCACCTATGAGCAGACTTAAATGCCAGTCATCCATCGCTAGGGTGTGAAAATGCCAACCACTCGTTAAAACAGCTCCACTCCCAAATAACATAGGGAAAAATTACCCACATAGTGATGATGAGTGGTGGAGCGCTCGGGAAGCAGTGAGTGGCTAGACTTGGTCAAATATCTTGTGCAGTGCGTCGCTCTCGGTCTGTTACGTAAGACCGTTACTTCTCCCCACTTATCACCCATAGAAGCACTACTTCGCCAGATCGAATTCTCCAAGACAATAGAGCATTCCACAACATTCACCTAAAACCCGGACCAATCACCCCCTCAGATCATATTCCAATCATCGGCACCATCTCAGCCGGCACCATCATTACTGATCCCAATTCGACAACGTAAATCTTTCTTCCGGGCCGGTTCGACACTATACAAAGAGCTAATCTCGCCGAGATAATCTCGCACCACCCAGTAATAAAATAAATAAATAATAATAATAAGTGCATAAATAAAAAATATTCAACAATTCAAAAGAGGAGCACCGATCGTCCACGATTACAATCCAAAGCCCTGACGGGTAATCCCCCACCCAACCCCAATAAAACCCAAAGCACCAAAACTCAACCTAGTTATGCGCATTGCGCCTATTTCGTCTATAAATAATAATAATAAGTGCATAAATAAAAAATATTCAACAATTCAAAAGAGGAGCACCGATCGTCCACGATTACCATCCAAAGCCCTGACGGGTAATCCCCCACCCAACCCCAATAAAACCCAAAGCACCAAAACTCAACCTAGTTATGCGCATTGCGCCTATTTCGTCTTCTACCGTTATTTTCGGTTTCTCCTTCCTCTTTCTGGCCGCTCTGTGCCACCTCTTGTTTTTTCTCCAACTTTCCTAGTGGCACCGCACCGCCACCCAGTATCCTCACTGCCTGACCCTTGAATCGAGGAAATAGACTGCTACCTCGGCAGGGGGACGAAATTAATTCAAGACGCCACAGACAGGAGACGCCCCCAGGATCACACGCAACTCTTCACGACACCCGAAACTCTTCTAACACATGCAGATTGCAAACACTACACCAAGCTACCTTGAAACACAAGGCAGCTCACGGCCCATAACTCAATCGACTCATAGCTCTGCGTACGCAACTACAAAGAAACAGCATACCAACGCCTCCAAACAACAACATGGCAGAAACCCATCACAAAACTCAAGCTCCAGCAAGAAACTAAACAATTATGGAAGTCAGTTAAACGGATGCTTGGCTCAAATACGAAACGGTCAGCCCCAACCACACAAAATTACTCAACTAGACACTGCCCAAGAGAAAACCCTTATTTAGACGACATCGACAAAACATATTCATTGAAACGACGAATTCAACACTAAATACATCAATACCATTGAAGAACATGTGAACAACATCAGACAACACTACAACACAGGTGAGCTCTCTAAATTACACCCTCTAAATTTGCCACCCATCATGCACCACTGCCGAACTCAAACAGTCACTTCGCACCTTCAAACAAAAAGCACATGGTCCCTCTGTGATAACACTCCTATAACTCAAGAATCTCCCTCGGAACATTATCCAATATCTTCTCTATATATTCAATCAGTGTTTCTCGGTCGGTTACTTTCCTGATTCAATCCAACACGCAATAGTGATATTCATCCCAATCCATTTACATCACAACACCAAGCCTGAACTGAAGAAAAATCTCCATCCTAGACATCCACGGCAAGTTACTAGACAAAGTTTTTAACACACTCTATAGCCACCTCGAGACACACAACATACTAAACCCGAGATAGCACAGATTCAGGAAATACAGAGGCACACATACTGCATTAGCTACACTACACGAGACTCTTGCCATCAGTTCCACACAAAAACACTAAATAAAACCTGGTCCTCCAAGACATTTCCAAAGCTTTCGCCCGCGTATGGCACACCGACGTAGCCTACAAAATCTCCGGTGATGAAATCAATCAGAACGCTGACTGACTTCATCTATTCACGACAAACCATCATCTATTATGATAGATACATACCTAGGCCCTCCACATACCTGTCCTGGGCCCCCGTCTCTCCACGAACGATGCAATATACCCACGATCAACAGTCATTCACGAACACGCCAGCAACATCTGGCGCAAAATGAAAATATAGGAGCCCGAACTTTTCAACCAACTCACCTTTCCGTAGTACATCATTTATAGAGAACATCAACGGTTCAAGAGTTCCAAGATGCATTGGTTCCAACACCACCTCATCTACAAGTAGTCACATATAAAATGACCATTATTACCCAAACATGGGCCATCTACACCTGAGCGTTCTTACTAGGCGCCTGGACGCCGACATCCGTACCGTTACACGCATACCCAAACCACCTTCACAAGACATGCTGCGCTCGGACGGCAGTTATAACGTTTGCGTCCGGATGCGGCTGTCCCGAAATGACTCCTGACTGACGTAACAGACTGAGAGCGACGCACTACACTACAAGACACTTGACCAACTCTAGCCAGCCACTGTATCACGAGCGCTCCACTACCCATCGTCTCCATCAAATCATCATCAACAACGAAGTAAGTGAAAAACCGAAGAACCATAAGGTAATGACAGAACATTTGAGCGAAACTCACAACATAGTGAGTGCCTATTATTTCACCCTTCTTCGTGAAAAGCATCTCGAACGCATCGAATCACAATCAACCCCACAATACTCCCCGCAACTAACCACAGCTCTGACGGGTGCCCCCAATGAAACCCCTAAAAATCTATGATCAACCAAGTTATGCGCTGAGCACCTTTTCATAACTATTTTTTTCATTTCTCCTTCCTCTAACTGGCCACTCTGTGCAATTTTTTTTCACTCTTTCTGCACCACCGCACCGTCATTTACACCATTTATTTTTTTTTTTCATTTTCATCGCTGTTTCAATTATCTAGAATATATTATCTAGAATATAATTATATTATCTAGAATTTAATTATCTAGAATATAATCATTACGTTCAATCGCCGCATTTAGCTATACACGAATCACTGGTTTTGCTTGGTGTAAAGGTAAGTTACATTTCTTGGCTCGTCTCGCTGCGCGGCACAGAAGGTTAACGTTCCGTAGCCACAACTCAACTCAATATAAA